CACGGCAGCCTGTACACAGTCTGGTACCTCTGAACGTGTTTCATTTTACTGAAATGTACAAAACAAGGCTTCCAAGAGCACAGTAACTCTGCAAAGATGGAGCACAAAGAGAGATACTACACCTGCAGTGAGAACAAATCCAGTATTGTCAGCAGGGATAACTGCAGTGGTATCAGAGCTTAGACTGAAGTTGAATTTGGCCTTCACTGTAATGCAGAGTTATAATGAGATAACAATGAGATTGAGGTGATTAACTATAAACAGAAATAAACCCTCCATGTCAACTGTTTGCCTGCAAACACAGCAATGCCCTGCTCAGCAAGCTTAGGCTGTTCAATAAATTCAATAGTGAGTTGGGTAACTGACCCATCAGTCACTTTGTCTTATTTGTCAAGGGTCTTATTTGTCAAGTTTTTATTTCTCTCCTTTGTATCAGCCTTGCAACTCTAATCTTAAAACCATTCAGAGAGGCATGCGCACCAAGTTCTTCTCAAAGCAGAAGTATTATTACTTGAGATATAACCAAGACCTTGGAATTGAATTACAGACACTGTTACTGCATCTCTTCTCCAGTCAAATATTCTGCATTGTATTTTAGCATGAGAAGCATCCACTCACCCACAATGATTTTCATTCCTGGGACCCAGTAAACCCTTAATGCTGCAAATAAAATGTAATCCTTGACTCCCTTACAAGGATCAACCTGATCTTCTCACTATCATGAATTTCTCCATTTTAGTTCTTCATCTAAACAGCAAATCAGAGGATTTCACAAAAACTGTGAGTCTAGAAAAGCAGAATCAGGCCCATTAGTGCTTTAGAGACACCCATCACTATCACATCTATACATTTAATTACTGAACCTTATTATCTCTTTTTTTAGAAAGAAGTTTTGTGCAAGCATTCAAGCCTGCAGTCAGTGCTTGCAAGGAACTTAGCAAAACCTTGACAGGAATAGGATGCCTTGGGAATAGATGACTCTCTCATCTGAAATGCATAATTAGCTTTTGGTTAAGTGTGCAATTAACATTAAAATTTACAATCAAATATGATGGAGTTCTAATTTTACCTCCTGTAACTGAAAAAAAAAAAAAAAAAAAAAAAAAAAAAAAGAAAAGAAAAGAAAAGAAAGGAAAAAGAACTCAGTTGCCAGTGTTACTGCTTTGAATCTCTTCCCTAAGAGGCAAGCTGCACAAGATGATCCTGTCATCCAGGCAATGCCTGATACAAAAAGCTGTTAAAAACATTGTGTATTTGCCTTCTGGACAGCTACACAGCAGGGGGGTTATTTTGGTTTACACTTTTCTGTTCTGTAGTGGTAACTGCCATTCAGTATAATTAGCAGTTGTCATATTTCTGTTTTTAAAGATCCAAAAAACCCAGAGCAATGTTGCTTTGTGCCCTCTCCCCAGCTGTGCCTGAGAGCTGTAACACGTGCTTCAGACATCCACTAAAGCTAATCTCACACCCCAACAGGTTTCAGCAGCTAAGCCACAGAGACATTTTTGTTAATGAGAAGGAAAAACCTTCATCCTAGCAGTTTAATTCTGATAAACAGCTCCTTAAAAGAAAAATCTTACTGCAGTCTAAATATGCTGCCTCTGAGCATCACTGCCTTTCTGTCTTTTAACCTGAAGTTAAATTTAATCTCTGCTGCTTTTTACAAAGGGGGTTGAAAGCAGTTTAAACTGTAACATCAGCTGACAAACCCTATATTTAGTTATGTTTATTATTAATCACATCAATGTTGAGAGTCCTTTGTGTAAGGTGCTGCACAAAAATATAATGGAAATATAATCAAATTCCTCACACAAAGTATGTATTGGGTTGTTTGGGACTGAGCACTGCCAATGACCTTCTATCAGTTAATTTATGTGACTGTGCATGTACTGAACCCAGACTGGGCCAGCACCAGGGCCAGAGGCTGCCCCTCAGCAGCTCCCCTCCATGCCACGGTGCTCAGGAGTTCTGCTGTCATTTTCACTACCATTATTCATCACCAGCAATAGACACACAAACGCACAGAAGGCAGAAAAAGAAATCTCACCTTGCTCTTACCTAAAACTGAAATCACTTTTATTCATTCACCCTGCTTCCATCTGGGTCTGGACAAAGTGGCCCTCTCTAGCTGCTAGGCAACCTGAACTCTGCATTAACCGTTTGCATTTGCTAAGAATATAATAATGTTACCTTTGAGATTTATTTATAATAAAAAAGCATACCTAGATGAAAATATAATAATTTTCCTGCAGTAAACAGTAATTAGCAACTACGGGAATACAAAATTGGTCAAGAAATGAAGAGAGATATTATAAATTGGGTCCTTACAACCCAATCATAAGGAATATGCTTTTTATAAAAGTATTATGACAGATGGCAGTGGCATTAAAAAAAAAATCTAATCCAAGAATTACATTTATGTAGATATGTAAATATCTATATAACAGATGAATATACTTATGTAATAAATGTTTTAAAATAGATATTAAATTACTAAGCCTGATCCAACTACAAAACAAAGCCTCATCCAACTACAAAACAAATGTTCTCAATAAAGTGAATTTATTCCATTAGCACAACACCACCATTCCTAAACAAGACTGAAAATATTTGAAATTAAAACACAGTCCACTGATCTTGGAGTTCTTTAAAGAAAGGGAAGAAAAGACAACAAAACATTATTTCATAAACCCCTCTCTGAACCATTTTACTGTTTCCATATGCAGCAGCAGTGCTGCCATTCTACCTTAAAAACATCATGAATATCTCTGCTATGTCCTGTTCCTCTCAAGCTAAAGAGATATTCCTTTCAAGTCTTTTCAAAGCAGATCAGTTCCCAGACTGCTTAGCCACAAGTACAACTGATTATTAAACTATCAATTTGGGTGATTGAGGCGTTAATGTCAACAAAGCAAGAGGCCCACTAATGACACCAAAATCAAACAGAGGAGCACTCTCTCCTGATCATTCCATGTGACAGCTTGTCAAATCCTGAGTCACAAAATACAGACTTCGTCAAACTCAGCACAAAAACAAATGCAAGATCTCTGGCTTTAAAATGCTCATCAACTTCTGCTGGAGAAACAAAACCAGGAGTCAGGCCAGAGAGACATTTACTGCCACAGCTGTCAGCCTTTCCGTGCAGCTGCTCAGCCCTTGAAGCAGCGTGAGCTTTTCTGAGCTTTAAGACAATACAAGAATTTGGGTCCTGCACCCAAATTCTGTTCTTCTGCTCAACACAGGCAACAGGCAGTGTAAAGAAAGCCCCACTGATCATGCATCTCTGGATCACAGCGCAGCAGTAATAACTTCCCTCTCACCTTGAGACTTGCAGAGCACAAGGTAATTTGGCACAGCCCTCGAGCACCTCCAGTCTGTCACAGCTGTGCTCACTTCAGAGCTCCACAAGCACCCCTGAACTGAAAAAACCCTGGGTCTGTGGAGAAGAGAACATCAGAGGTTCCTAGAAGTGCTTTTCTCTGGGTTTAGAAATATATTTGAAGTGGTGAAGTCAAACACTTGTACCTTCTCCTTCACTTAATTTCACATTAAATCTGATTCAGATAAGGCTTAATGCCAAGCTTAGGGAGAGCATAATTGAAAAAAAAAAAGTCAGCATAACTGGAAAATTGTCAGTCAGAGCAAAGGGTTCAATGGAGCCACAGAGTCCCACACTCCCAGAAACTCAAGAGCAGCTGTAAATAGTTTTAAAAAGTAACTGTAAGACAGGTTGGTATGAAAACTCTTTCTTCCCACACATAGGAACCCATAGTTTTGGTATGCTAATGGACCCCACTATTACTTCATGTACCATGAATTGAATGACAAATATGATCTCAGGGCAGGCAGGAGACAAACAAGTTCAAATACTGTGGTTTTGACAGAGGCACGTAGTGTTTTGTTAAGGTCCTTGAATTATAAGTCATGTCAGGGATCCATGCAAAAAGAGAGAAGAACAGAACACAAGTTACTCTGGAAACTGTCCAACACTTAGGTGTATCTTTTTTAAAGAAATAAATGTTAAATCAACAGTGCTGTTAACTCAAATATTAAGGTCCTATGGATTGCACCCCCTGAGGAATTCACCAGACATCTCTTTTCATAAGAAGTTTAAGGTTATTAAAGCCCTTTTTGCCCCAAAGCCCTTTAACAGATTTAATTAAGATTATTGCTTAATTCACTTTAATCACAGTATCTTTGAAAAAACTCTAACATCTTATGGTGTTTTCTGTCTTGCTTTTACACAGTTTCTTAGAAAATTTCACATTCCAAAATTCAGAAAGACCAATTAAATGGAAATCATCTTTAGTTGCTTATAGGGCCTGAAGTAAAAACATTTTTATTGCCAAAACCCTAAATTAAATCAATCAATTTCATATCAGGTGACCTACCTTAGTTTCAACGTCACGGTTTTACAACATGAAAAGGATATTTTATTAAATTAGTTGTTTTACATTGTACCCAGCAACACAGAAATAAAATGAATTGTGTAGTTGTGGTACCAAAAAAAAAAAGCACCTCATTTTAGATTCTCACTATTCAAGATCACCACAATAAATAAAAAAACCAGATGTGATTACTGTAATTTGACATTTAAATGCAATTATTGAAGAATTACAAATCAGGTATATGTAGATCAATTAGAAGATTAGGCTCTTAGATGGGGTAGAAATTGGGTAGAAATGGGCTGCTGAGCAGGTACATGAGTTACAGGAAGATACAAGTATCTTATGTAGAGGCTGTAAAATGACAGTATGAGTTGTGTGTAAAGTTCACTCAAATGTAGAAAAGCTCCTTAGACCACATCAGGACCCTGAGTGAGACAGACACAAAGAGAATTCCCTCACTTTACTGCAGGGACACAAAGGTCCAGCCACACACAACTTACGAACAACCAAAATCTACACCAACCCAAAAATCCATTTCCAAACGAGCCATATTTTACCATCACAGCTTTGCTGGGATTAATATAAAGCATCTTTGAAAATGCTGGCACTTACCCAAATCTGCAGCTTCACCCTCTTGTCATTCCTGTAAACTGTTTTCACCTTGAAGTCGATTCCCACTGTGCTCACAAAGGCTGGAGTGAAGGTGTCGTCGGCATATCTGAAGAGGAAGGATGTTTTACCCACACTGCTGTTGCCAATGATCAGGAGCTTGAACATGTAATCAAAATTTTGGTCTGAAGTATCTTTCTGCCTGAATCTGGCATCTGTTACTGAAGCCATCTAAGAAAATGACAAACATGGAAAAAGAACAGATCTAAGAGCAGTTCAGCATTTGTTTTCCTTAACTCTGTACCATATGTTTAGGTTATCTCTCAACTTTCTAATGTCATAACCACTATATCTGCTGAATAAAGAGGAGCACACTTTGAAATCTTCTTTTAAATTCTGGCTTTAATCCTGTTTAGTGTTCACTTGTGCTGGTAAGACTTCCAAACCCAAGAAATACACCTGTTGCACTGCTTTGTATTTAAGAGAATAACAGATGGCTACTGCAGATTGTTCAAATACTCATGGGGAAACAGCATTCTTTACTCCAGTGGCAGGGTGCCACTTCTGTTGCTCCAATAAACTGCAACCAAGAACTAAAATCTTTGACAGTGCATCCAACCATGCAATTCATCAAGCAGCCTGCAAGGTAAATAAACCTAAATAATTGTTTTTACTAGTTCTATGGAAAATCTGCATTTCTAGTGCATGCACCTCCACCATTTTATCCTTACAAAAGTTCTCTCCTCAAAATTTACAGAAGAAAAAAAAAAAAAAAAAGGAAATAGAAACAGATGAAAAAACAGGAATTTCAGCTGCAAACTTTAAACTTTGAATCCATCCAACCTCTATCTATTCCTAAGACTGCAATTGGAATAAAGACTGTATAAAATGTGAGGGCTCCAATAGGGGTACAGACAGCATTTGGAATGGATAAATTATCCCTTTTAGATTCAGAAACAAAAAAACCAACAGCAGAATACGAATCATTAAGGGCCATGAGCAGCCCTGGCTGCTCTAATGTGTGCAGCTCAGACAGCTGGTGGGAAGAGGTAAGACTCTGACTTTTCACCTCTGGTTGTAAGAACACAACCACACAAACCAAATTATTACAGAGGAGGGAAAAGAAACTTTACCTTTTAAACAGATATACCACACTTTTAATCTCTCATGCTGTTTGAAACTACCACACATCAAATAAGCAAAGGTCTTGGCTCCTTGTAACAAGACACAGGGTTGGCAAATTGGAGAAACGACAGCACAGGTTTAATTAGCAGTTACTTATGCAAACCAGGGCCTGGGCTACTTGTGTGCAGTCAGAAGGCACTGAGCAGTGACACAAGTCTCTATTTCACCCAGCACCCACAGAAGTTAATTTTCTCCTCAACTCAAATTCACAGGCACCTTTGGGAACTAAACTCACTCCAATATCTACTCTCAGCATGTGCTCAAATGCCTTCCTTCTTAGCAAGTCTCACCTGCACACAGGACTTCACCCATTCAATGAAAAAACCAGCAACAACAACATGCCACAAACCCAAACAAAACCAAAACAAACAGTTCAAAATTCACAACTCTAAACCAAAATGCTATCCCAAGGCAGTTTAAATAGGGATGATAATTTCACTTAAATTTCCAGCAGTGGGGAAATGAGCCAAAAGCTGGTTTAAACTTCAGTACAATATGCACAACGGTTTATCTCAGATTAAACATATGCAACTTTCTCACACAGAAAAGGGCTGGTGCAGCAGACATTTCGTTCACAGACTGCATTCACAAGGGCAGTTTCTGAAGAAATTTATCAGTAGCTCAGTAGTGAACAGCTGCACGGAATGCATTAAAATCTTCCCAGAAGTATTTCTCAGTAGGATACAGCACAATTCCGATACACTCTCTTCTGAACTTCAGCTGCTCTTCAGTCAGTCTACAGTCCTTTGCAAGCACTCCAGAAAACACAAGCACAAATTTTCTTCTCATCAGTGTATCAGAAAACAGCTCTTCTACCCATGTGTTGTGGTTCATAGCAGGAATTTCTAAAAGGAAGAATTCAACATCTGACTAACTTCCATTCAGACACTCAGGCCAATGCACTTACTGCCTTCTTATCCTTAGAAATCTCCTGCAAAAATTATGAATCAGGTGATTAGTTGTTTTGTACCATCACCACACGACAGAAAATTTTCTATTTAAGTAATTTATCTTCCCCATACACATTATAATCTCTACAAATACCTTTGACAATACTTGTGCACTTGCTAAAGAAGAAAAAAAAATAAATCTCTACTTCTCCATTCCACTCACACAGGCTCAAAATAGTGAGAAACCCTCATCACCTGAAGCCTGGTCTTTCACAGATGCAGACCTTTAACAAAGGTATTGTACTCATCATACAGGAATCAGTATCTTCTTTCTACCCCTGCCTGCCCAGAACCCATCCACACACTCCAAGCTGATCCTGTGACTGAAGCACTGCTGCCTCTATTAACCCTCCTAGATTGCTCTAATCAGAATTGCACCTAGCTACAAATGTGACTTTCAGATCTCAGCTGAAAAAGCAATTACAGAATGTGGCCAGCTCGAGCAGCTTTGTTAGAAGCACAACACAGAGAATAAGATCAAATGATACTTGTCCAGAACGTGGGGCTGTTGTCATAGAAGCACAACCCTCGCTGGCCTCTGTGCTGGCTGAAGATGCTGCAGGTCAGTGTCTTGAATCACCAGAGGCAGACAGAGCACAAAAATTTTAAAGAAAACACCATCCCCTTGCTTCAATTTCACTTTTCCCTTTCCCCTCTAGTGAACAGAGTGAAACTGAAAGAACTTTCGTACTAATTTCTGATTATCCCTCTGATGGCAGATGATTACTGAAGCTGTGCTCACTTCCAGCACTTGGGCTGGAAGTGTTTGCAGGGCTGCCCCTGAATTTGTGCTTGAATCACAAAGGCAGGGAACAGCAGACCTTTCTCCTCCCCTCCCTTTCTCTTCCCCACCTGTTGTCTCACTCTTGCTCCAAGCACTCCCTAGTCGTATCAGCCCTGAGGACCCCGCAGAGAGGTGGTTCAGAGGACAGAGATCCCAGTTAAAAATAAATCCTCCTACAGCTTCTGCTGTTTTACAGGGCTGTTTGTAAAGTTGGTTCAGTTCCTGATCCCTCATGGCTGAGGGAGCCAAGCAGAGGGGACAGAGCAGGGGGAAGTGGTGGCAGTTGCTATGCTACTGAGAGAAAGGTCCACAAAATCACCTCTCCTGCAGGCCCTCTGCACCTGGAGGAGATTCTGCAGCAGGGAAGTGGAGACAACACGCTGAGGTCAGGCAGCTCCTGTCCAAATCACCTGAAGGCTCACACAGCCATTGCTCCCAGGGGATTGTCCCCCCTCCTTGTCCAAAGCCATTTAGCTGGCAGTGTAACCCCTGCTCCCTGGGCACACAGCCACAGATGCTCTTTTAGGATGACTCCAAAGAGAGCACCATCTCTGCTGTTTCACACAAACACACAGCCCAAGGAGAGTGCTGTTACAGGAGACCAGGTCAAATACAGCTGGCAAAGGAGAGGCTCGTGACTGTTTCCATTTTGACTGTCTTAGACTAATTCTCAATAAAATACTTACACAGGAAAGATTTTGCTACAGGACATAAAACCCGTTACACAGGAGAGGGAAAAGCTGCCAATCAGATTGTCCTTAAGACCAGAATAAGACCTTGCATCATTTAGTTTTTTGCCTGAGTAGCCCCCATTTTTGTAGCTAAGAGCATACTTATATTGACAATCTTTTTCCCCCATATGCATTACCAATGGGAGCAAGGTCTCAAGCACAGCCACTTCCAACTAGTTTTGTGGGAATAGGCAGTTTTGTAGCTCTGAGATACCTTATTATTTCCCTATTGAGGAAAAAGCCTGCAGTGTGAGCTCATCTTTTATTAGACAAAGAAACCACATAAGAGCAGGATGCTGCAAATGCTCTAAAGCAATAAAATCTTAATCAGAGCTTATTAGCCACCAAAGAATATATTCCTAGGTCAAAGTGGCTCTCCTGCCTTTAGTTTCTATTTTGGTCTAATGAATTTTAAAAGAAAAAAAGCCTATTGCCCTAAGACACCTCCATGGGAAACCAGCCTTTGTTGTTTTCAGTGCCCACTGAAATGTGTCACATGGATGGATCCACACAGCTGTGCTCAATTTGTGACCAGCCTCATGGTGAAGACTCAAACTGGTTTCTAGTGCGACACAAAACATCAAAGTGTTCCTGTTCTTAGGAATCACTGGAAGTGGTCACTGTAAGCCCTGCTCTGCAACATTTTTTGCCTACAGCCAACTTTAGGACAAGTTTAAAGTGTTGGCTAGAAATTAACTGATATACCTCACCATTTATTTACTGCCAGAAAAAAAGGCTAAGGTTGACTTTTAGTGTTGCCAGCACTTACAGCTTTGGCTACAAACTAATGGAGGGCTGATCTTTATCCTCTCACAGACAAGAAACAAGAAATCCAGTCACTACCTTGGAAGGTTCCATGTCTCTTTATCAGCAACCACGTGGGTGTGCTCACAGACATGCTCTTTCCACATCCCATTCTCTCTTACAACAGTGTGAGAAGGAAGTCTGAATTTGGGGAAGAGTCTCCTGTTCTGCTATCAGTCACCCCAGTTAACCAGGAAACCTGGTCACACTGATGCAACTTACACTTCAAACCATACCCTAAGACACATTTGCAAATTCAACTTGTAATGAACCTGTGGATTCTCTATATTACAACTTCTGAGCAGTTCTAACAATAAAAACATTTTTTCATATGCTTCATTTTTAAAGCCAAAAGTGTAATTTCCTATATTTGTCTTAGGTTATTTAGGACCAGTAACAATTTAAATGTGTTGGTTTAACTGTTTCATCATCATCCACTAACACACATTTCTTTAATTAGGCAGATGAGAGGACGGGGTGAAATCACTCCTCTGTATTTCTACAGTAACTCACGAGAGGTGTTACTAATGTGCAACATAAATTCTTCTCAAAAGCATTAACACCTTGTGTATTTTTTCCCCAAGAAGTCTTAGAAAGTGCATCTAAGTTTAAAATACTCTAGTTCACAAATTACGCATCTATCTCTATTTTCTATTATAAAAGCTCCTTTATGTGCTCTGTCATTGGAAAATAAGTACTGTTTTCTTTTCAGAAATTCATTTCCATTCTGAACCAGATTTCTACCAAGCAATGGAATATTTTAGGGCCAATGTGTGCTGTCCTAAGGATAAAGCTCATAAAGGAAACAAGGCCATGACCGTAGAGACTCTTACACAAGTGCTGTTCTACACGAGAGATTTATCAGAAGCAGAAAACAGAGTATGAGCAATTAACACAAGTGCTAATAAACATTGCAAGCAAGCGATAGTTACCAATTTAGATCTATAATCCATGAGAGAGATGAAGGCTTTGCTGTGAGTATATGAATCAAGAGAGTAGTCACACTGTTGAACCTGCCATGTAGAAGCAAAAGGGTTACGATGATTATGATGAAGATGAATAATAAGAATATTAGGTAAGGGAATAATGGGTAGGCAGGTTAGGTGGGAACAAGTGCTGTGTAAGGTCTGAGCTTCCTCCACTGAAGGTAAAGAGGAAAGTCCTGTAGTGTACAAAGAGAACAGAAACAGTGTTTGAGTTAGTGACAGATATTAGGATAACAGCAAACATTCAAAGCCATCAGTTTAAAGTTTATTAAAGGGAGATTATCTCTACTAATCTAAAATTAAAGTTCCAGATAAATCTCACAAGTGGATGGAAAACCTTGGATAGGAATTGTTACACATTTCCTGAAGAAAGGCAGCAAAGCAAATGGAACCAAGAAGCAACTGAAATCCCTCTGTACACAAGGTGTTTTGCACAAAGCCTGGATCAAAGTCTACCATGCTGCAAAGACAACTGCAATAGGACATCTGCACAAAAATATCTGCCTTAAAGTAATAATTATTCCAGATTTAGAGCAGAAAAATGTAACAGAACATAGTTGTCTTTTTCATGGCTAATACAATGTAAAGGCCAAGTTTGTGTCTGGTGCATTTTCCTTCCAGTAAGCCAGGGCACAGCACCATTTGTCACCCTGACTTACATTATCTTGCCTTGTGGAGACTGCCAAAACACCTGGGCACACTCAGACCTGATGTAAATAACAGGCTGCAGCCACCTCCTCCAGGCCGGAATTTGGATCAAAGACAAATCCTTTCTCAGGATCCACACAATTGACAATCACCTCGCTTGGCAACACGACAGCAGCTTGGTCTTGCCCAAAGTATTGCACATTTTTCGGTTGCATTTCCTCCTGCTCTCGCAGCCTGCCCTCTGCAACAGCTGCTCCCTGTGACAGCCTCTGGCTCACTCTTCAGTACTGTCCAGAACCTGACTTTGGGGTGTCACCTAAATGCCACTCAACTGACAGATCTAGAACAAAAACAATTCAACTCTCTACACAGAAAGTCTAGGTTTATTACATTGAAAATGTGAGCTCTTCATCTTGAGCGCTTCGTCTTTAATAAAATTTATTTATTAATGAGTCCAGAAGTCTTTACAAGAAGATGCTTGTAGTGGATTTGGTCTGGAACTTACATGCTACAAAAAATTCAATATATGCATAACTAAAGGATGAAAACCTGTAAGCAATGTCAGTGGTTATTTATTTTCATTACCCATTCAGATTTGGGAACACAGGCTTTAAAAACAGCTTTTAAAGGATTTTTAAAAACTTGCTGGGTGTGGAACATGAGTCAAGAACCAGCAGGTACCACTTTTTTGCCATCTAACTTTACAACAACATTTGGTTGGACTGTTAGAAAGATTTCCTGCAGTCAAACATCAAGCCATGCCTCTCCCATTTCCTGCACAACATTCAACATCCTCGAAAGTCCATTTCAGAGCCACAATAAAATCCTTAGGAAGGAGGAATTAGTCCCTCTAATATAACAACAACAAAAAAAATTAAAGAAATAGAAGTTTCCACTTTTCTACTCTCTTCTATGAGCATTAAGTGTTTGCCACTCTTACTACCACAAGGTTCCATGTCTGTTGGCAAGCACACTACTCCAGAAAATACAGAGAAAAATATGTAACAGTAAAAAAACCTCCCCTGGTAAAGGGGACCCACTAACTGAACCCAGCTCAGCTCTCTCCCAGAGGACGCAAGAAAGAGGGGATTTTTACCTTCCCTATGCCCTAAAGAGGGGATGCAGAGATTTCCACAACTCCTTGAATATTCTGTTGAATTTAGGAATCCTGGAGCCAGCCAATTTCTAGTGCTACAGAACTGCAAGCTGAGGCTGACCCGAATCCAGCCCTGCCCCAGAGAACAACCAGCCAATTTCTAGTGCTACAGAACTGCAAGCTGAGGCTGACCCAGCCCCAGTGAACAGTGCACACTGACGAGGCTGATGGCTGTTACCAAACTCACCATCCTCAAAGCCCTTCCTTCCTGTCACAACACTGCAGCGACGGCCGAGACAACAGAAATCCGGAATTCAGTCCCCTCCTCATCGGATCTCCAGCCCTGCAGCTCTGCCTCTCTTTCTCAGGAAGGAACTGGCAATAGTGAAGCACTTCCTTGCACCTCACTGCTGAATACACCGAAGGAGCAGTGACATGAAAGCATCCAGAGCAACACACAAGATGGATCTGTACCAGCTCTGCTACAACACTCGTGTGAGTCCCTGCTGATCCGTCCCCAGCTGGAAGGCAGGGCATGGCTACATTCTGCCCTGGGATACAGCTCTCCACGGGGAAAGCCATGACCATGCCCTCCCACAGTGATGGAAGATAAGGGAAGTTCAGGCATATGATGGCACCCACCCTATCTGGAGCTACAGTGAGGTCATATGCAGATTTAGGTAGACACCCCTCCACCAAAGAGCAGGAGACAGTTACAGATTTTTCTGCCCCACTGGGTCTAAAATCATTCACTTACAGGTAAAAACAAGCTGCTGTCCTCACCAAATCAAGTGAGCAGAGACTGGAATTGTCTTGTAGAAACCACCTGCAAACCAGAATCACACAGAGACAGGGCCAGCTCAGGATGCCTCTGCAGTGCAGAAGTCTAATTTGCTGCCTTTTATCCTCCTCTTCCAAGCAGAAAATCTGTGATGAATAAGTTAATTCATTTCTCTATGCCATGATGTTCTCCCATGCTGCAAAGTAAGCCACCTGCTAACTGGGATTACAACAAGCACCCTCATACTTCCTTTAATGAGCTAATACTTCCAAACATAAATCTTATTTCAAATATCAAACACTACTGCACTAAGCTAAACACACATTTCCAGGAGCTCAATAAATATGCAGAACCTGACGCACAAGATACATTTTTGCAGCAAAAAGCATACCTGAAATGACCAGTTCAGGACATTTCTCAGCCTTAGCACTGAGAACTGCCTCAAAAACCCTACTTCTTCAGTCCAACCAGTAACAAAAAATAGACATGTACCTACTGAGGAGGGCAAAGTGGACATGAAGCCCTTCCCTGGCACCACAACCAGCCGGCATGATGCAAGACCCTGAACTGTGATGCTGTGACCTGCACGTTTTAATCTGGAGCTGCATGAAAACATATGAAAATGAAGGCAGGAAAAACCATCTCTGAACTACGTAGCTAACATAACTACTCCACAACAACCATCATGTTAACAAATACTAAATGCATTGCTTTGCTATACACAAGAATACTGCTATTAAAACCTAAAGCTGCTAAGTCTTCTCACTTTGTCACCTGAAAATATATTGGGTCTGCAAAGAGGGCACCACAGTTTTGTCAAAATTACAAAGGAATCTTGATTTTAATTTGGTTTATTTGCCTCTCTTCTGACTTATACTATAAATTGTTCTGATAAAACTGTCCTGAAGGCAGTGAAGTCCCAGTAAATGCATATACAACCACCTCCAGGATAGCAAGCACAAATAACAGGAAATAAAAGCCTTTTAGTTACACACTTCCATACAGCAGTGTATTGATTCAATTTTGTACCCTCTATAACCAAATACCAGTGCTCCCATGATCTGAGTACAGTTACAAACACACAGATCAAAATTATAGTTCCAGTGACATTTTTACCTTTGGAGGGGAAAAAGAAAAAACGTTCACAAGAGAATGTTATTTGAACCCAGAGCTAATCCAGGCAACTCTGAAGCCCTGCAAACTACTATTTGCACAACTGAGAGTGCAGTAGTGGGTGAGGAATAAGAAACAAAGCAGGAGAAGTCAAAACCAGATTTGCCACCAAAGAATTTCACAGAAACGTTCTGAGAGCCTGATTTTATATTGTCTCAGGACATGGGAAAATACACATTATTCTCTCCAGTTTGGTTGTTTTTTTGGGGTTTTTTTTTTTTTTTTTGACAAGTTACACTTAATTTAGGTCAGATCAACCTGATGCACTGCACAAGCCCAGAACATATCGTTGCTTGTAGGAAGGAAAGGACAGCGTAGACAGAGAACCTTGGGAGGCAAAGAAAGGTGGAGCCACAGGTGCCGGTGCTGGCGATGCCGCTGCGGTCCCACCGCCGGGCCGCTGCCGAGCGCCGAGAAAACACGGGGAAGAAAACCAACGCGTCGTCCCAGAACGCATGGCAAAAACAAAACAAAACAAACAAAAAAAAATAAACCCACATGCGTTTCGCATGGACAAACTGGAGAGTTTGTACTTTTTATGAACTAAATCAGAAGACGGATCCGTTTGGCTTGGTGCGGTGGGCTCGCTGCCCGGGGCTATATGGGCGGTGTGGGTACGGGGCAAGTCCGCTCCTCCGGCTCGGTCCCTGCCCTGCCCGAGCACCCCGAGCACCCAGCGGCTGCTGTGGCGGCTCCCGGCCGTGCTCCACCGCCGAGCAGTTGGGTTGTTGTCACCTGTTCCCCCTCCCCGAGCCGGGCACGGCCCGGGGTGACGGGAACGGGCGGGTTACGCACCAGCTGGAGAACAGCCGGGAAGGCCCCGCTCTCCGGCCTCCCCCCTCCCGCGAGGCTGAGGGTATTTTAGAGATAAGGCAATATTATATCGCCTCTCACTGCTGGGAAATGTTTATTTTAGAGATGGAACTGCTGTTGCCCTCTCCGCCCCCGCCGCTCCCGAGGGCTGCCCGTTACACCACACCACACCTCGGGGCACGAAGCTCACCCGCGGGGCACCTCCTGCTTCCCGTCCCGTGGAACCCGGAGACAGCCCCGACCCTCGGGGCGAGGAGGGCAGGAGGAGTTTGTGGGTCCCGGTGGGGACGTGAGGCGCGGAACACCGCCAGCCCCATCCCCGCCACCTTCGAGGGGAAGCAGCCCCGACGGCGCGGGAGGAGCCCCCTCAGAGGGGCTGCGGCTCTTACCTGCGGCGGAGAAGCGGCGGCGCCGAGCCGAGCCGGGACGAGCCGAAGCAAACCGAACCGAGCCGAACTGAACTGAAGCGAGCCGAGCGGTCCCACGGCCGCTGCTCGCGTGGCGGGAGCCGCCCCCCCGCCGCTACCTGGGGCGGCCCCGGGGGCGGAGCGCGGCGGGGCGGGGCGGGGGCCCGCGGGGAGCGCGGGAATGGGAATCGCCTCAGGCGCTCCCGCAGCCGCCGCGGGCTGGGGAAACGTCCCGGGTACGACCCAAACTTGTCATTCTTACCGCGCTTTCCGCACGGGATGGGATTCTCATCAGTAGCACTGTTGACTCTGAAGCCTGTTGATGGCCGATGTGGCATCAAGCACTACATTTCTACTGGTGAGGAGACAAAAATCGAGGCAGTGGCTGCGATTTAAATCGTTCACATGAACGAGGTCTGATGAAGAGGTTGTGGTGGACCCTCTTAGCTTTAAAACCCTTTAGACCCCAGAGAGACTTGGCTGTGGTCTGTTCCTCTCCAAGAAACCAAAATAGCCTTTCGACATGATACCCTAGACAGAATGAACAAAATACTGTTGTTTTTTTTTTTTTTTTTAACATATTAAACATTATGTGTGACATAACTAAGAAGGTGCTTCCCTAACAACCAGCAAAGATGGAAGGATTTAACCAAGTGCCTCAGCACGAACACAAGGTCTTGCTGGGCCCCAGGAGAGAGGCTCCTTGTGAGGGGAGGCCGGCGCAGGAGGTGCTTAAAGGTACTGGATTTGCAGTGTTTCTGTCTTCAGGCAGTACCTCTGAACTCAAACCCCTAAAACTTGGGGGTGCAGATGTCTTTTTACTCTGCTATGTCCTCCAGAGCACTGCTGCTTTCTTCTCAGTCTCATTGTGTCTTTTGTTTGATGTGCAGCACTTTGACTCGGCTTGGACACTGCCCACACAGCACAGGAATAATTTTGTCCACTTGTAAAAGCTTTTTGCACATCTGGTGATCTTCAGCATCCGATCCTCAGTTCTGATCTTCTTGTAGGTCAACCAGCCCTTGGAGCAGCTTGAGCTTTATAACAGTTCACTCACTTTAGAGGAGTCTGACAATTGATTTATTGCTACACTTTGTCCAGGGCAGTTGACTAGTTACCAGTGCCATGATTTATGCAGAAAGCCAGGGAGTTCAGTAGTACTGTATGACTAGCATATAGCTAAGGTGAACATTTTAGGAACAATCACAGGAGAGATGCTGAGCAGCCTTAAGGACACCTCTTCTCTCTGCAGATCAGAGATGCCATACAGCTTCTCCATTTTACTCAAGTCACAGCTATCTGCCAGGTGGCCCAGGGGACAATTCTACCCAATATCAGAGTAGTTTTTTTACCCTCATCTAGAATGAAAATGTGTATTTGCCATCAAAACCCCAACTAAAATTACTGTTACATAAACCAGGCCCTGATTTAAGCCCTAAGCAAAATAACAGCTTTGTGTAGGCAACTAGAAATAATCAACAGTGTAATAAAATCCCAAACTCATTACAAGTGTTTCAAAGACAGCCTAGCAGGCTTGACACCTAAAAAATCTTTCCAGCTCCTTGCAATCCTCTTGTTACTCTGGAATAGCTGATCTCTCCCAAAACCTGACTTCTCGTCAACCCAGCATGGGTAGAGCTCTTCTCTCAGTCTGCTGACTGATGCTCAGTCTAGAAAACCATTGTGATCCCACAGTGTGAGCCCTATAAGGCATCAACACAGAGTGCAAATGGTCATGGACACATACCTGCACCTTTCATGCAAAGGACACGTCCTGGCTGAGGCTCATGGGCATCTGGCAGTGATCACCTGATTCCACAGCCCATAACCACAGCCACCAGTGCAGAGCCATTGCTCAATCCTAATTTCCAAAGGTTTTTTCCAGATTTCATGCCACCCCTGAAATGCCAGTGTTTACCTACATACAAGCCCTTTCTTAGTCAGGGATAACCAAAAGAAGGCATGCACCCAGGTAATTAGGAGACAGGAGAATATGTAGTGATTTTTGCTGTCTATCACCTTGTTTAGACATGTTCCTATAATTTATGGAGTGAATAATTTTTGCTCTCCTAGTGCACTTCCCTGCCAGGTTTTAATGTTGTATGGTCATGAATTGCTGACACCACTTCCAGTGGGGGAGGTCTTTGTTATTTTAGATTTATAGATGGGGAAATAAGGAAACAGGAAAGAACTCCCACAAGCACTCGGAGGTGGAAGAGCAGATGCTGTGCTTTATCTTGTTTTCTGACATGTGGATCTATCTCACTCTCTCCCAGCAGTCAGGAGAGCACATTTATCAAGCACAACATACATTCTCTACTGCTCTCTCAACATTTTAAATTCAAAACACTCATCCTCTCACAGTGCAATTGATCTGAAGAAACAAATTTAATCTTTTCTAAAAATGGAATTAAAAAAAATTAATTTATCAATTTATGTATTGATTTATTTATTCTCAAAGCAACAGCAGCACCAAAACCGTTAAATCTGCTGTTGTCCACGGGAGCCAGGTGAAAACAGGACACTCACAAACAAAATCCTCCTTGTTTGAATAGGCAGCACTCACCCAGGTTCTTCTCCACTTCAGTGTGGAACAAAGAGCATGTAAGGCCCATGCTGTGTCCCCAGGATGTGTGCGAATTTCATTCCCTTTAACAGGGCTAATGCATCCAAATCCTCACAAATGGCTCTTTGAACACTGCTCATAATATCAGAAATAGCACAATGAAGTGACATCCAAATTTGAGTGTGCTGCCAGTGCAGCTTATTTTATGCACAGCATGTTATGTTGTGACCTGAAGCACTCTCAAAAAGCAGGGAGCACATCTGCACTTCTTATCAATTAATATTTCTGCAGCACATCTACCTATTTCATGCTGTGCATGTGCAAAATGGTCCAAAAATGAGCGTACACTAGCAAATAAACACTAGTCAGCAACCAGTTACCTACAGCCTTAGCCAAACTCAGTCCACACACTCCTGCCCCTTCAGCTCTGCTCCAGCTCCTCCCTTGCCCTGACTTGGAGTGTTAACAATGGGATCCTGACCTTTTGAGAGGGTGGAAACTTTTGGAAGCTGGCTCTCCTTCACTCTCCACATCACAGCAGAGACATGGGAATGAAGGAGGAGATTCCTGTGTTGGCTGGAGGAAAACAGAACGGGGAAGCAGCACCCACCCACTTGAGAACCCATGCCCAGGTTGTACCCTGCCTGCTCCCACATCCTGCCTGCTCCCTGCACTCTTCCTGATGCTGTGCCCCATGCTGGGATGAGAGCCAGCACGGGGTGGTGTGTGACAGCCTCTCTCACTGTTCTGAGTCAGAAACTGGAATGCTGTAAGCACAGGTCAGCCAGTCCCTGTTTCCAGCGTAGTTGTGAGCAGAGAAGTTTGGGGTATCTATTCCCCCCCCCCCCCCCCCCCGTAATCAAAGGAACTTACTGCAGATTTCACCATCACAAAATGGTGCCATGACATTTTTCACAGCTTGGAGAGGATCACTCAAGCTTTGGTCCCCGTTGCCACTGCCTGTGGCAGGTCACAGGGGCTGGCTGGCACTTGTCAGTGAAGATTCCTCCTCCTTGGATGGTGCTGACGTGGTGGCACCGGGCTGGCACTGCAGTGGCAGGAGTGGTGCTCTGGACAATGGCAGGCCTGGGAACTGTGCACAGCCACACCTCACTCTAGACAAACTTTGAGGGGAAAAGCAAACTGAGATTATTTGGCTAACTGCTTAACAAATCAGCACCTGTTTCTTCAAGGAGGAAAGGGGGAATGGGTTAATATGCCAAATAGTTTTGAGACAAAGTGACTTTTAACATTTAGACAGACCTTCATTATTGTTTCCTGGTTTCCTCCAGGCAGCAACCTTCCCTCTCCAGTCAGTGCCAAAGATAACTTACACAGCTGTCTGGAAAGGGTATGCAACCCTTTAGAGAAACTTCATCTTTGGCTTTGCTGTCTGTGAAATGAGCATGGATTTGCAGTGACTTCCCCTTTTCATCCCACTCTCTGGAGAGAGTTCAGAGTAATTTCATCTTTATTGCTTTCTGAATCTCTGTCCTCAGGCCTCAAGTTTAGAGCCACCTATAGCGACAGTTGTCAAGGAATAGTCCTGGAGTGGTTCTCCAGGCTGGGCAAACCTAAGCAGGCACAATACCAGGTCAGCTGCAAATAAATATCACAGCATAACATAAATGCAAATACCTCTCCTCTTGCCAAAAGTTAAGAGAAGTTTCATCACATCCAATGGTATATGATCTTATATTCATAGAGGTTTAATGATATTTCACTTCAGAGGTATTTATTACATGAGCTCTAAATGAGCTCTGAGTGAATGAAGCTCATTAGCAGTTTGATACAGGCGAGACACAGTGGCAGGCAGACAGCCATGGGGACAAAAGTGTGTTTGAAGTAGATGACTCCTAAACTCAGCATGCCAGGATGACAGATGGGACACTCTGGCCGTGCAGGCATTATTGGTTGTTGCAGTTTTGTTCCCTGCTGCTTAACATGGCAAAGGAAAGGTTTCCAAAGTCTCCAGCTGAAACTTCCTTAAAGCCTGTCCAGCCTCAGGTGCACAAAGCAACCTCTGCTCCCAGGCAGCCAGATGGGAGCTGCAATCCAGGCACTCCCTAATTAAATTTGGGGTTTTTTTTCTTCTTTAGGTTGTTTCTGGAAGAAAGAGAACTGTCAGCATGTTTATTTACAAGAGATTAATTCAGCCTGGCAGTTTGCTGGGTCTGTACTAGGAATTTTGAAGTGTCTTTGAGTTTTTTATCACCATAGAAGGAGGAAAAGCTGAGAATCCGAGGGGATTTCTAAATGCATCTGAAGAAATGATCATGTAAGTTACTGCAAGTCATACACAGATGGGCAGCACAAGAAACAAAGCTGATGGGGGCAAACTAAGCTGAGGTCTTGGTTACTGAGCTGTGCTGCAGTGTATCAGTAACTTCAAACACAGCTACAGGAAACCCTGACCTGCAAGCAGTTTCTCTAAGCCCTGGGGACGTGCTTGTGTGCATAAAGTCACACAACATACAAAAAGCAACTGCTGGGTGGATCCTGCTGCACAGAAGAAAATGCCAACCATCTGTACCA